CCCGATCTTCCCCCCACCAATCCGCTCTTCCCTATTCTCTTATCTCCTTGTCCTGTGTCTGTCGCCTCTCTCTCCCCGTCTTTCTCCACGCCTCTCTCTACTCCGTTGGGATCCTCGTCCGTTGGGATCCTCGTCGAGCTCGTTCTCCTCCAACCCTCGATGTGAGGCCTGCGGATCTGGTATGTCCTTTCCTCTCCTCCTCGGTCTGTCACTCATCCTCTCTTCATTGCTCTCCTCCTTTCCATCACCTCCATATCCACATTTACCGCGATGTGATCCCTCTCGTTCATTCTGGCCCTTCGTCATTATCCTGCTCTCTCCTTTCCTTCCTCCGCGCTGAGCCCTCTCTTCCTGCCTTTACCGTCGAATGTCTTCTTCCCCACCTTGTGCAGATCCCCCTACTCGACCTGCATTCCTTACCCTGTTGCCCCCACTGTGGCAGCCGTTCTTTCCACGAGTGGTTTACTAACGACCCCCACTTTTCACCCCATAGCTTGCCCCCCCAAGCACTAAAAAAGGCATTTGGACGCTTTTTTTTCAAGTTTTTTTATTTTTCAGGTTTTTTTTATTTTTCAGGTTTTTTTTATTTTCAGGGGGTTTTTTTTTCCAGGTTTTTTTTGTTTTTCGTCAAGATTTGTGTTTGCAAAAGTTTGGTGTTTGTTGGAACCTCGGAGATGACTGTGTTTTTTTATCTGTTTTTGTTTTTGTTTTTCTTAATAAATGACTGTGTTTTTTTGCTTACCCTGAAAAAAATCTGAAAATCCTGAAATCCTAAAGAACTGCAAAGGGCAAATTTTGCATGAAAACGCACATTTTGCTTTAGGGTTTGAGGCTCCTTTCTTTTTTTTCCCCTCTTCTTTTTTTTCCCTTTTTACCCCTTTCTCGGCCTTTTGGCTAAGATCAAGTGTAGTATCTGTTCTGATCAGTTTAATATCTGATCCAAAAAAAAAAAAAAAAAAACTACGGCGCAGTCAGGGTTTGAGTTTGAAAATGCACTTGTTGTTGAGGCAAAAGGACTGGTGAATTATGGTGAATGTATACAACCTAGGTTTCGGGTCCGGTGGGGTCACGTGGGGGTGTGTTGTGTTCGCGGGATTGCCTGAAGTACATTTTGCAAACTGTTTTCGTGACTGCGCCGAAGTTAGCCCCACCTTTTTTTTTTTGCGCCGTTGCTTTACTTCTTGTTGTCCACTCTATGGATAGATAACAGGTTTGGTTCAAAAGGTGGGAGAGAGTTCGTGGAAGTTTCGTTACAAAGACCTTGAAAGAACGCTGAAAATTCAGGGCTCTGTTCACCGCTTCTCGACGTTCTTCTTCCCTTGTACTTCATCGATTCCTACATCCTCACCCTCATTCGCTGGGATCCCGACCTTCTCCTCCTCTCGATCCCATGTCCTAATCGGCCCCTTCCCAAGCCGCGCTGCCCACATCCCCTTCTTCGCCCCCCATTTACTCTGGTGGGACCCTCCTCGACGGTATTCCCGCCTGGACAACCTCCTTATAACGCCAACGAACTCATCTTGCATGCTTCACTCTATATCCCAGCGACTCTCCGTATGCTGCCTCTGTATCTGCCATCCCTATCCCGACCAACCAAATCCCGACCCTCTCATCCTCCTGACCCCGCGCATCCTCACCCCCTCCCCGTTCGTCCTTCTCCTGCTACTACAGCCCCTCAACATTTCGA